TTTTTTGGGGGTACCTGACCCCCCGGGCCGGTTTTTGGGGTGCCGCAGGAGCTGGTGGAGTTCTACCGGCGGAATTCGCTCCGCGATTGCTTCAAGGCGCTGGACACGACCCTGGCCCTGCCCTACCGGGACCCCGAGAGCCGCGAGGGACCCCGAGAGCCCGGTACGGGGGGACACCCCAAAATCCTCCCTGGGACCCCAAAACCCCCCTCGGGAACCCCAAAATCCTCCTCAGAACCCCAAAATCCCCATCGGGAACCCCAAAATCCCCATCGGGAACCACAAAATCCCCATTGGGAACCACAAAATCCTCCTCAGAACCCCAAAATCCTCCTCAGAACCCCATAACTGCTAGGAACCCCCAAAATCCTCCTTGGAAACCCCAAAATCCCCCTCGGGAACCCCAAAATCCCCATCGGGAACACCAAAATCCCCCTCAGAACCCCAAAATCCCCCTCGGGAATCCCAAAATCCCCCTCGGGAACCCCAAAATCCTCCTCAGAACCACAAAATCCTCCTCAGAACCCCAAAATCCCCCTCAGAACCCCATAACTGCTAGGAACCCCCAAAATCCCCCTGGGAAACCCCAAAATCCTCCTCAGAACCCCAAAATCCCCCTGGGAAACCCCAAAATCCTCCTCAGAACCCCAAAATCCTCCTTGGGAACCCCAAAATCCCCCTCAGGACCCCCAAAATTCTCCTCAGAAACCTATAACTGCCAGGAACCCCCAAAATCCCCATCGGGAACCCCAAAATCCCCATCGGGAACCACAAAATCTCCATCGGGAACCACAAAATCCTCCTCAGAACCCCAAAATCCACCTGGGGAACCCCAAAATCCCCCTCAGGAACCGCAAAATCCCCCTCGGGAACACCAAAATCCCCATCGGGAACCACAAAATCTCCATCGGGAACCGCAAAATCCCCATCGGGAACCCCAAAATCCTCCTCAGAACCCCAAAATCCCCATCGGGAACCCCAAAATCTCCATCGGGAACCCCAAAATCCCCATCGGGAACCCCAAAATCCACCTGGGGAACCCCAAAATCCCCATCAGGAACCACAAAATCCACCAGGGGAACCACAAAATCCTCCTCAGAACCCCAAAATCCACCTGGGGAACCCCAAAATCCCCCTCAGGACCCCCAAAATTCTCCTCAGAAACCCATAACTGCCAGGAACCCCCAAAATCCTCCTCGGGAACCCCAAAATCCCCATCAGGAACCCCAAAATCCTCCTCGGGAACCTCAAAATCCCCATCAGGACCCCCAAAATTCTCCTCAGAAACCCATAACTGCTAGGAACCCCCAAAATCCCCCTGGGAAACCCCAAAATCCCCCTCAG